CATTTTTTTTTGTTATTTTTCCTTGATATTCTTCGTTTTTGGAATTTCCATATAAATCATTTTAGAAATATTTCTTAATCGGAGATGCTGCACCAACAATGGTTTCCCTAAAATTTTTTATGTGCATTTATGTAATTCATAATTCAGTCCACAAGCAGAATCAATATCAACTTTATTGACATTAATAATTTAAATAATTTAATGATTTTTTTTATTAAAAAAAATTCTTAAATTTAAATAACATAACATGTAAGTAAAATAAAAAATAAAAAATGATAACCTCCGATTGTATAATTAAGATAGAAAAATACATATATATATATATATATATATATATCAATCTGATTGGCTTTGAAAGGTGCATCACCGGGCTCTTGTCCTGGGTTCTACCCCTTTCCCAGTCATTTCTTCTCAAAATCATTCACTTAAATACCAGTTTTACACAAAATCAACCCTAATTAAGGTTTGGCTTGAGATTGTTGTGCGATGTTGGTGTCCCTTTACCATGCTCAGCTGCTACTAAAAGTTAGATTAAGGCAAATATTAGTATTTAATTTAATAATTACTATTAAAAAAAAGAGTTGTACAACTGTGTAATTACAAAATTAAGAATTACTTTTTAATTTAAAATCATGAAAAACTATTAGTTTGAACAATCGTAACCCTGTAATAAATAATACTCCTATGGAGGAATTAGTTCTCAAGGCTATGGTTGTTGCACTAACAAAACATAAAGACACCAAAAGAAATTTTGGGACTATTGAAAAACCTATTAACCTAATGTTGAAAAAAATCCGATGAGGCGTACGTCAGGAATTTAATTATACGGTAGACATGAACTCAAGGTTTTAAAACGGACAAAACTATAACTACATAAATAAATATTAAAGTTATATAAAATATTATCCTCACATTAAATTTAATTAATTTATAATTAATTACAATAATTTAAAGTATCATCGTATAAATTAATTTAAAACTAGTTAGTAATAAATATAACTATTTTATCCAATAATCCTACTATTCAAACTAAATATAATAGTTTTGTGTGGCTTAATATTTATTTTGGCCCTCGAAAATTAGATTCCTTTGCACCCTTCGCGGCCAGGAAAGAGGACATCCCAGACCTTACGATTTAATTCTGTCATCATTCTCTCTCCACAAAAGATATTTTTAATTTTTAATTTCATTTTTTTAAAATTGTAAATAAAAAGGAAAAAAAAAAAAAACTAATGTAATGAACTTTAACAACTAAAAGAACCGTATTTTCCAAGGAGCGTAGCCAAGTCATTCACTTCATTTTTTTTTATTGGTTTTCGTCTCGATTAATTTGGACCCGACCTACATCGCATATTTGAAAATGGTGGGTGAGTCTCCCAACAGGGGCCGCTGCATACACAAAGTCTCAAACTCAAGATTTTATTTAAACTAAAACAAGTCACTTAACACTTTATCCAACCTCTCGTGGCTAGTCATTCCCTTCATTTGCAAGCATAAAAATGATTTTTGATTCTGACACTGACAAGAGGGAAGACTGCATCCACAAATGCCATTCATCCTCTCATTCTTTTTCCTCTTGGTCCTCTATTTCTCCTTGACTTTCTTCCACCAAAAACTCTCTCAATC